TTGGAAGCACCAAATTTACATTTCAGCCATGAAGGGATCAACATGGCAGACCGAATGGGAGGGGGAGAACCTCATGTGTGCGAGTTAAGGGTACAGAAGGAGGAGAAGGTCAGAGGAGATTTGGAGGCAGAAAAGATTGAGGGAACGGAGGAGTGGTTCACAGACGGTTGTTGCTTCAGGACGGAGACAGGAAGTTTGCAAGCAGGGTACGCGGTAGTGGCAAGGCAAGATCAGACATACGTCACTTTGAAGGCTGAAAAGCTGACAGGAGCGCAGTCTGCCCAGAGAGCAGAGGTGGTTGCAGTAATTGAGGCTTTGAAACTAGCAGAAGGAAAGGAAGTTACTATTTATTCAGACTCAGCCTACGCAGTGGGAGCTGTGCACGTAGAATTGAGTCAGTGGCTGAGAGCGGGGTTTTTGACAGCAGGAAACAAGCCGATCAAGCATGAAACGGAAATGAGAGAGCTTGCAGAAGCTTTGCTGTTGCCTGCTCGAGTAGCAGTGGTGAAATGTAAAGGTCACGAGGGCACGGGGACAGCGGTCGCCCGAGGTAATCAAGTAGCAGATGAGGAAGCAAAACGAGTTGCAGGCTACACAGTGGCCAGACAACTGGTCACGGTGGAGGAAGAGGTTCAGCCGCAGCCCCGACTGACCTTGGAAGTAGTGAAGGGAGAACAACAGAAAGCTTCCCCAGAGGAAATGACAATGTGGAGAGAGAGAGAGGGGGACAGCAGAAGGATGGTTTGTGGCAGAATAAAGAGGGTAAGCCAGCCCTCCCAAGCAACCTCCGCCAGACAGTGCTGGAGGAAGCCCATGGGGTGGGGCATGCAGGAGTGAAACAGATGCTGAGTAACTTGACAGGGTGGTGGCACCCATTCATGAAGGACATGGTGAGAGAGCATGTGAAAAGTTGTACTATTTGCGTAATGTACAACCCACGCTCCACGATCACACCGGGACAGGGACAATTCCCCAGGTGTGCCAAAGCAGGGGAAGAAATAGTCATAGACTATACAGATATGGTGGTTTCGGCGAGGGGATTCCGGTATGTGCTGATGTGCGTGGATGCGTTCTCTGGGTGGCCAGAAGCATGGCCCACAAGAAGGGAGGATGGAGCCTCCGTGGTGAAATTTTTGATCAACCAGTACATACCACGGCATGGGTTCCCCAACAGAATCCGGTCAGACAACGGGACACACTTTAAAAATGAGGACCTGAGGCGGGTAGAGAAGGCCTTGGGGTTGAAACACGCGTTCGGAACGGTTTATCACCCACAGTCCCAGGGGAAGGTGGAGCGGATGAACCAAACTATCAAACAGAAATTGGCTAAAATCTGTGCACAGACAAAACTGAATTGGGTCGATGCGTTGCCACTGGCATTAATGTCCGCAAGGTGTTCCGTAAACCGGGGAACCGGGTTCACCCCATTTGAGCTGCAGATAGGCAGGCAGTTTCCGGGCCCGGCGAAGGAGCTGGCCTGGACCCCTGATGAGACAGGGGGGCGGGGATACAGAGCATACTATGATGGCTTGCAAGTTCTCGTTTCAGGTTTCTCCCAACAAGTCCAGGGAACCGCACCAGAGGCAGCCGCGGCCAAACCACACACTGGGGAGTGGGTCCTGCTGAAAGTCATCAAAAGGAAGTGGTCAGAGCCCAAGTGGACCGGCCCCTTCCAAGTCGTCGAAAGGACATCCCACGCAGTGCGGTTGAAGGGAAAAGGAGACACGTGGTACCATTGGACCCAGTGCGCCGCAGCCCAGGAGCCAGGACGAGCGGTGGGAGAGATCCAGGAAGACCTCACGCAAGGGGAAGAACTGCCTGACTCGGAAGAGCCAGTACCAACTCAGGTCACCACAGGGGCAGAATAATCCCCGACCTGAAAGACCAGCAGGGCAGTCTACCCCTGGCTGGTTGAAGAACCAGCAGTCCTCACCAGCGCAGATCAGGATGAAGAACCAGCAGATGAAAAGGGGGACTCTGGGGGGAATGAGTGTGTTATATAGAATATTTAGAACGCTTGTAGTTATGTGTGTATGGCTTTCCATTGTCCAAACATGGGGCCCCCATAAATCATGTGAGGAGAGGTGGGGGATTCTGAAGACTGGCTGACCTCTATGTTTGGACAATGGAAGGGAGTAGTAACTTCGCTTTTAATTTCTATAGCTACATTTGCTGCAATTTTAGTCACTTGTGGGTGTTGCTGCATCCCCTGCCTCCGTGCTCTGTCAGTCCGCCTGATCTCCTCCACCATAGAGAAGCGTGAACCCCTCAGAATGCATATGATGCCCCTCCTCGGCCCAGGGTCCAACCGGGACCAGGAGGAGACGGTGTTCCAAAAGGTGATCTCCTAGCGGAGATCAAAAGGGGGATACCCTAAAATTTCTGTAACCTTTAGGTGATCTCTGTGCAGAGATCAAAAGGGGGAATTTGTGGGGGTAGAAGCAGGAGGGTGGACAGAGTACGTGACAGGAAAATATATCTGCAAGACATTAAGCAACTGCAAGAAGATAGACAGTCTAACACCTATAACCACAAAAGTTATATTTACGCCAAGTATGCAATTAGGTTCTGAGAACACCTGTAAACAACAAGGGTTCTAAGAACTTAGAAATAAGCTAAGATGGAAATGTACCAGCTCTGCTGATTATGCTTTCGCTTTTGAGCAACACCAGAACAAGGAAGTAACTAAGCACAATGCAGGTATATAACACACAGTAAAGCTTTACTGGCCAGAACATGCTGAGCTGACACACTGGGGGTGTGTAGGCAGTCTGTTCCCGAGCCGGCTCGCATTAAAGCAATAAGAGGCATTAACAATAGAATGCATTACTGAATAAAGGAGTATTAATAAAAGTAACACTGAGAGTCTCCCTGTGTGATCTCTTCTCATCCGGACCCGGTGGAGCATTGTACTCCAACAGAACCAAAGCTATTCTTCTTCTAGCCATCTAAGAAGTTATCAGGAACTGTCTGGAAAAGAGAAGAAACTTGTGTTCATATCCCCTGTATCACGGTTTATTGATTTCATCAGGGGCGCCGCTGGCCATTAGGGTGCCCTAAGCACAGCAGCCTTGTGGTGCCCCCCCCCCCCCCCCCAAACAAAAAAAATAAGAATTCAATATTTTCCAGTGCAGTCGTCTTTATTTCCAATATAAATTCTAACATTGTCTTAATTTCGAAAATAAACAATAAAATAAATTCCACTTGCTGATGGCCTCTCAGTGATGGAACTCACAATGCCTTCAAAAGTGGTGGTTGCGTGCTGAGTAGCATCTAAACCTGACCTGCTGGTTGGTGGTTGTTTGTCAGGGCTGGGTACTGTTCCAGAGTCTCTTCTTTTCTGCCTCTGACTCTTGATGCTTTATTGAGGCCATGACCAAATACAGGGCTATATTTTGCCATCCGGAAAAAGCTGTCTGCGTCAGAGTTCTCTGCGTTTCACATACCTTGCTTGTGGTCCGATTGTTTTCGTTTTGTTTTAAACCCTATGATGGCTCCCAAACATCCTGCATCTTCTAAGCCTTCTCGTACTGGCGAGCCTAAGCGCCAGAGGAAGACCTTGACCATTCAGGAGAAGGTAAAACTCCTGGATATGCTTCAGGAAGGAAAGCGTTACGCAGATGTCGTTCACCATTATTAAAATGTTCTTATTTTTACATATTCCATTACGTATACAGAGAGAGATGTATACACACACACACACACACACACATATGTGTATATATATATATATATATATATATATATATATATATACACACTCACCTAAAGGATTATTAGGAACACCTGTTCAATTTCTCA